TTAAGTTCCAGGTCCAAGACTCGAATGCAGTCAGCCATGGGGGAGTCCAGTGATGTAACCGCTGGCCCCCATCTTCTCTAATTCTTACTCCCGGTTACTGAGCGCTCAATGCCTCATACCTTCTTACAACACCCCCAGCCTCTGGGCCTTTGCACTTCCTATTTCTTCTGCCTGGAACAGAGTTTCTCCTTCCCCCCTGTGGCATGGCTACCTCTTTCTGTTTTTTTTTTTTTTCCTTAAGTAGCATCTTTTGCAGTCAGGCTATCCCCATTTAAGGTCTATTTAAGTTCCAGGGCATTGCCTCCTTTTCGGTCCTTAATTTCTTTATACTACTCATTTCCATGAATACTTATTATCTCACTTCCCTTAAGGTAAACGTTCCATAAACAGAGGTTTCTATTCTTTCATGATATTTGCATTTATTAATAGCTAGAGAGCACTTAAACTATCGCAGTCATAGGGTAAGTGGGTTTCGCATGAGGCAATGACCAATGTATACAGGCTACCCTGTGCGTTACTTAGTATACAATGACAGGACAGAACTGGCTCCTGCCCTCAGTAAACAAACTCATAAGAAACACATTCCACAAATGGGAGGTTTGCTTCAGGAGTTTGAAAACATGGGACAGGAACCTAATTCAGACTCAGGTTGGGCTGCCTTTAGGAGATGGTACCTGAGCTTAATAGAAGTTAGCCCAGTGAAAGGAGAAGGAGAGATTTGGTCTCCCTTTCTAGGGAGAGGGACAACGTAAGCAAAGGCATAGTGGTTGAGCAGACGGTGTTTCTCCTCAGACCTTCTTATCATTTCTTTCTTTTTTCATATATATATATATTTTTTTTTTGGAGAGGTTTTTTGCTATAGGGTGTGTGTGCTCACCAAACAGGCAGAGAGAGACAGAGAGATAGAAAGCAAAAAATAATCCCTCAGGGGGATGGCCATGCTGCAATCCCTTCTCCTCCATTGTCCTCTCGGGATCTTGGGCACGCACGCACATGTGCCTGGCGTGAGTTTAAGCCACCAAGTCCAGGACTTGAACCGCGGTCGACCACATGGAAGTCCAGTGACATAGCCATTACACTAACTGCTGGTCCCTTCTCCTTATCATTTCTGAGCATGCCAGTGTGACTTCCCATGGTCAAGACCAGCATCATCATTGAAGGGCTGTACGCCTTTGAGTATGGCAGGCTGGGAATGAATAGGAATTAACCTGTTTCCCTTCAGACCTTAAATCAATGTCTGAGGGTTGCTGAGGGTATTCATGGCCCCATCCTGTTGCCCGTTAGCCAGCATATTTCTGAGGGGTGTATTGTACATCAAATCTGTGAAGTTAAGGTCTACTCACTCACTGTGGTCAATTTATAAATGCATCCATTCCTGGTTATCTTCCCTTTCTTGTATCACTTTACCCTCTCCTAACTTACTTACTGACTTAAAACTTCTCACCAACTGCTGGTCATTGAATTTTGGCTCAGGGTTGGCCTCTGGAGGAACTCAAAGACAGTGACTTCTACTTGATCATCAGAGAAAAAAAAGTGACAAAGAAGTTGGTCCGAGTTGGAAGATACTAAAGCAAACTAGATTGGTTGTGTATGGGCTATAGGGATGGGAGGATTAGTATGATGGTGATGGAATTGGGATTTTTTTCCAAGTTCCTTCTGGAACCTTTGAGTTGGGACCTGGCCTAATCAAAAGGATTACAGTAAGATAAATCTGGCTGAGGTCTGTGGTGGCATTGTATTTGGGGCAAAGGAAGAGTCTACAGGAAGAGTGGCCAGTTAGGAAACAGTTACAACAGCGCCACTAAAAGGATATTCAGGAGTGCATGAGTTGGTGAGGAGCAGTGAGAATGGAAAGAAATGGACAGAGAGAAAATGTGGGGAAAAAAAGAGAATTTGGTGTCTAGATCTGAGTTGCTGGGTGTAGGGAGCAGGAAGAAAGAAGCAAAGAAAATGTCTGAGGCTATGACTAAGAGAGCCGTAGTGTCATTAACAGAGATGAGGAAACTGAGCAGGATCTGGATTTGGCAAGCTGAAGACCAGGCTGAGTTTGTAGCAGGGAACATCCAAGCAGAAACCTACAGCGACGGCTGGAACTGGCAGAAGGCAGGAAGGATTTGGTTTCAGAATCTGGGCTCCCTTCGACTCCAACAGGAGTGCCTGGCTATTTTGAAAATCCCAGGGAAACACTTGCTTTCTACAAGCCACACAGTCCTGGGACTGTCTCTGAGTAGAGAAGAAGGAATGGCAAAGTAACCTGCAGTTATCGGTAGACCTTGTAATTTACACACACGTACACCCTTAGGACGTAGAGAGGCTGTCAGAGTGCATGAGAAGAGGAGGTGTGTGTGTGTGTGTGTGTATGTGTGTGGAGGGGGGTCTGAAGCCCCACTCTCCATGCAAGAACTTGGAGATACTACAGTACCAGGAAAGCAAGAACACACGTACACCCTTAGGACGTAGAGAGGCTGTCAGAGTGCATGAGAAGAGGAGGTGTGTGTGTGTGTGTGTGTATGTGTGTGGAGGGGGGCCTGAAGCCCCATTCTAGCCATGCAAGAACTTGGAGATACTACAGTACCAGGAAAGCAAGAAATCAAGAAGTTTAATAAAGGCAGGTTTGGAATTCTGGACACTTGAGATTTGGCCAAAAGACCAGCCATGCACAGGGCAGTCCTGGAATCCGCAAATCCGTGGACCGCTGCTTTTCTGCCTAGTTACACAGGGCTGCGCTTGCCCCACACTGAAAGATGTCATTAAGGACTCCTCCCTCCGTTTTCCTTCTTCAGACTATATAAATCTTATTCCATCCTTCACACAGGTCATACTTTCCATTTCTTTAATTATCTGCTCCTCTCCTCTGAACTTTCTCCAGTTTTCCTCTTCTCTTAAAAATCTTGAGACCCAGCCGTCAAAACATGGTAATATCTGGCTTAGTCTGAGCACAGGAAATGATCCTTTTTTTTTTTAAGTGTCACACCCCAGGCAACATTTCTTCACAAGTTTTTCCACCCACTTTCGCTTTCAGTGCTTCCATTAAGTATTCACCTTATCTTCCCCCATCCCTAATGGTGCTCAGCACATGCTCCGGAGACAGACAGAGACAGACGCATCCCCCAGTGGAGAGTAACAATACCATACCACAAACCTTTTTTTTCCTCCGTTTCTTCACCCCATCAGAATTCTGGGTCCCTGGCATATGTGCTTGGGGCGTCTTTCAAGTCCAGGGGGCCTGGATTGGAATTCCTTATACACTGACTTAACCCTCTGCTATGGGCCCGCCCCTCATCTTACCTTGATATGCTAATTTTAGACAACAGGTGATCCTATGGAACTTACCTTTTTCAATCATTCTCCATTTTCATTCCAAAGGATCACAGTTAGAATGTGTGTTGGCTTGAATCTGTCTCTCCCCCTTTCAGGAGGATTTGAACAAGATTCCAGAACACGACCAAGTCGCATTCTCCCGTGAGATACAGTCTATGAGGTAAAATGGTCAAGCTTTGGCTCATTCCAACAGTTTCAACCTTGGGCTGGTTAAAATGTGAGAAGAAGCGCAGAAAGGCACTGGCTTAGACAGGAGCCCAAACTGGAAGCAACAGGGGCCGCGCCAGAGAGCCCAGCGATGGCTCCGCTACATCTCCGGAGTAATTTTCCATGTGGACTGCACGAAGATCTTGTAAGGCACAGCCCCAGGTTACACACGCTGGGCTCCGATTCCGCAGGCTTTACAAGCCTCATTACTGGAAAGAGTCTCCCGCTCTCCTGGCACAGAAGGCGCAGGAAGAAAATGTTCAGTGGACAATAAAAACTTCGGGTTTACCGAGTGACATAAACACACGGCCTTCCTACACCGTGATGAACCTGACCTCCGAATAACGGGGTTGGAGGGCGGTGATCCGTTTCCACTTAGACTCTAGGGAGTTTCCCAGGGAGCCAAGATTGCTGTGGGTCTGCAGTCCTTTCTCACCGGGAGGTGAAAGCAAACCCAGAGAAGAACCCATTGTCATCCTCTGAGGCTGCTGTGAACGCTTCTGGGGCTGGGGCCGCCAAAAGGAGCCTAGACTCCCAGCGGCTCCCCCTCCCTCCCAGACCCACTCCCAAACCCAAGTACACGCTTTCCATTTCCAGCCAGAAGTGCTGCGTGAGCTTCTACACGTACCCGCAGACAGCTCCTTAAATAGGGTCCGAGCTGAGCAAACAATCCCAGACATGGGGCCCAAGAAGGCGAGCGCAGGCAACCGCAGGGGCGCACGCAACCCCCGCGGGTCAGCCGGCGGCCAATAGCCAGGGCGCGGCCCGCACCGCCACC